TAAGGAACTCGGGCCATAATCTAGTTCACGATGCCATTACATGGCTCTACACTTATAATAGGAAAGAATATACAAAATGTAAATCTTTATGGTATTATAAAACTATGAACGATATAATGGAAATTAACTTAAATATGAAACAATTTAACAAGTTAAACAACTGCAAAAATTCCATCAAGAAACTCTTCAGAATTAAGATAAATATTTTAAATGAAAAATATCTGGGCTTGATTAAAATTTATAACGTTAATCTCAACTAGTATTTTCTAAACCTTTTCAGGACTTCAGGACAAACCGAAATGGAATTGGTATGCTCTTTAAAATTTTTTTTTGATAGTATGAATTCACGGCTTTAATTATAAAAAAACTAAATTTAAAATCAGCCACAACCAGCCTTTAAAGTAATTAACTTATACTTCTTGGGCATAGGCTCTTTTTCTTAAAGCCTATGGACGTCTGTAACATTTTTCGAAATGTTGCACGCACAAGTACGTGCGGCTTGCCCACAAACGGGTAGAGGGCTCCTCATATTTTTTTTAAACTTTACATTACACCCCAATTAACTTATGCTCCAATTAGATGGAAACATGGAAAACCTAGCGTAGCTGTTGTTTATTCAACGTCAGAGGGCATATGCGCTATATATCACGGATCACGGAAAATTATATTTTTATTTTACTTTTTATTTTTAAGTTAACCTTTTTAATATTATATTCTAATTTTAGTTTGTAAAAATGTTGTAGCTGTTGTTTATTCAACGTCAGAGGGCATATGCGCTATATATCACGGATCACGGAAAATTATATTTTTATTTTACTTTTTATTTTAAAGTTAACCTTTTTAATATTATATTCTAATTTTAGTTTGTAAAAATGTTATATAAACGATAAGAAAAAGAGAAAATAAAAAGATTCAAAAATAATATTTTTTACATTTCTTCATGGTATATCGGGTGAGGATCGGAAAGCTATATTTAAAAAAAAAAATTCAGGTCTTCTTTACCTGGGAATAAAACATCTGGTCAAGATAGATAATATTGATATGATTTTAAAAATAATTCTACTCCATTTTTTTTAAACAAAATTTAGATGTGCAACTTATGACCAAGATCAAATATAGAAGTTGGACAAGGCTATGAATTCTAACTAGTGAAACCAATGATGATTTACAAAACATTCTAAATCCATGTAAGAAGAAAAGTTATTATAAATTAAAATTCTATGCTGAGATAAAGTCATATCTTGTAAATTAACTTAATAAAATAACTTAAACGTAAATCAATCATAATGGACATATTTGAATACATAAAAAGCCTTAAAAAATATTTACTTAATAATGAACTAACAGTTGAATTTCTTAAGGAACTACCTATTGATATTTTTCGTATTTTTGACTTATGGATATTGACCAAATATGGGAATTAACTGAATTACCTAAAGATGAATTCTTAGGTATAATTGAAAAATATTATAAGTCTAAAAAAGTTATAATACTAATGATATAGGTTATTATAATAATAATAGAAATCATAATTATAACAAATGTAATTATAATGATTATAAACCTAATGAGTATTTTAAAAACGACAAAATTATATTAAAAGATATGATAATAATTGTAATAGAAATAGAAATTACAATAATAATAATTTTTGAAATGATAATAATTGTAATAGAAATAGAAATTACAATAATAATAATTTTAGAAATGATAATAATTGTAATAGAAACAGAAATTACAATAATAATAATTTTAGATATCATGAAAATTATAACACTATAATTTTAAGTCTATATCAAAATGTGATTGAAACATATGAATTAAAAGATTTAAAAGATATAAATCATATGATTGAATTTAAAGAAACATTTGTGATTAAAAAGTTAATAATACAAATATTAAAGAAAATTATAAAATTCAAAAAGCTCTTATAAGTAATACTAAATGTGATAAAAGATTTTTGAAACTTAAAACTTTGAAGACAAATATAAGTATTATAAAAAAGAAGTTATGTAAAAACTAAACGTCTTCATTTTAGAAAAATATTTAAATATGAGATCATTTTCTAAAAATTTGAGGCTTAAGAAATTATTTTTTATTAAAAGCAATCTTATGAAGAATTATTATTTTAAAACATTTTAAAAATTAAAAAACAAGGGTGTTAAATTCAAAACTTTTTTTTAAAGAGAGGGAAATGTGCATAATATTTATTTGCATATTTTAACCTCATGGATTGAAAACATGAATATATAAATAAAAATTATTTAACACTAAAACGCAAAAAATGAATTAACACTAAAACGCAACGATTATTCAATTTATCCAATTTGATTCACATTCAACACATTATTCCATATTCTACATATAATTCATATATTATTCCGATTATTGATTATTCACTTATTCTTATATCCAACTTGATCAATTATTATTTCTAATTATTCATGACTAACTGATGATAACAATTTTGAAAATTGATAATAATAACGACTGAGCATTACCAAGCAAGAAGAAAAAGGGAAAATAAAAAGATTGAAAAATAATATTTTTACATTTCTTCATTTAAAAAAAACGTCGTCGTAGATAAAGTTGTCGACGCACATGTCTAACCATATCTAAACACTTATCCATCGGTAATAACGTTGGTTATCTTATTATTGGAAATAGTTTTAAATATTAATGATCGAAAATGTCCCCATGCGAAAAATGATTGCGGCAATGACATACTGTAATTTGTTATAGGATATTTTATATCCATTATATATTTTTGCTATATTAGTTGTTTAAACAACCCTCATCAAGTTCATAAGGAATATAAAAAAATAACCTATCCCTTAAAAACGTAGATATATTAACTTGCCATATATGTAAGCTATCTATAATGGTTTATGGATTTTTCAAAGTTTGCATAGTTTGTGGTTATAGAAATTGAAAGTAGACTCCATAAAATTAATTTGCAAATTATTAAAAAAATTTCATTATACTTTTTCATAAGGTCCTTTTCAAAACAAAAATCACGCTATAATTAAAGGCTGCACATGTGTTAACCCTATTTTGATATAGGTAAGGAGTATTTATTTTATATTAAATAGAAAACAATGTAATAACTGTTGATCTACTTTTAATTTTGTCAATTCATTTGTCATCGTGTCAATAAGTTTGGCCCCATAAACTTAAGGAGAGTTCAGATTTTATCTTATAAATTAATATTCTTAAATCTTTTTAAAAAAAATAGTATTTAATCTTTTGGATGTTTCTTTTCAATTGTTTGATTCAAATTTATAATAGTTAAAAAAATTATAAGTGGATAACTTTTGATTTGAAACACGATTAACAAGACTAAAATATGTGTACTTATATTTTGAATCAATCTACTATGTGGTGAAGATCACTGGTTCTGGTCGAGAGCCTCACTTATTTAAATTTATTAACATGAAATGTGTAGCTATTCAATATCAAAGCAGTTATACTACCATAGTTACAAAAAAAGGAATTATTATCCAGTTACGTAACAGGGGCTATGAATGCTTTAACAAATATAAGGAAAATAATAAAAAATACTTGCAACAAAATTTTGGCCAGCCCTACGATTAAAAAGCGATACTGAAAGCCTTTATTCTAAAGATTTTATCAGTGTTTAGTGCTTAATTCTATATATTTTTTTAATTAGTTTGTTAGACGCGGTGTAAAGAAAAAGATGCATTAGCAAGATGAAAAAAAAATTGCCAAAATAAAAAATATAGAAAAACTAAATAGTTGGGTTACACTCCCAATCAGTTTTGCTAACCAAAAAGAAACCGAGTTGTAGAAAAATAAAAAACGTAACGCTTTAAGCTTGAAATGAATCAAAATTTTGGAAAGGCTAATTCTGAAACTTATACCGAATGCTTAATTCGTGTATTTTATTTTTTATCTAGTTTAAAGGGGGATGGGATTGGGATTGTTTGTTAAAATTAGAAAAAAAATTCCGAAATTGGTATCATGATAGAATGTTCTAAATATGTTCAAGGCGATGAATAGCATAACAATAAGCTTTTTTCCGTGAGAGTAAAAAAAACTACTCGAAAGTAAGGAACCCAGAAAATGAGAGTGGGGTATAATAATGTAATCAGAATTTTAAAAATAATTAATCATAGCTACTATTATATTAGAACCAGAGGAAATAACAAATATAATATTGGCGTCGACTCAGGTTTATAATTCGGTTTTACTTATGGCATAACAAAAATACAAGATTATCCCATTTCTCTATTCCAAGTAAAATTTTAAATTTTAAGAAAGCAAATGTAATATGTACATATATATTTCTAAATTTTGGTCAATGAGTGATGTAAATCGATATTATATTTTTTCAAGTTTTCTATCGATATTTTTATAAATGATAACTGTGCTCTATAACTTGATCAGTTGGAACATTTTTTTTATACATATTTAGTAAGTAAATGTATATAATGAGAAATAATTGGAGACCAAAGATTTGGTCCAATGATTAAAAGTTCTCTTAGATATGTTGCAATGAATATATCGATTTTTGATAAAAAATGTAAGCATATGTGAGTTAAGTATCGCCAGGCCAATAAATATAAGGATTGATAGATTATATTCCCGAACAATTGATTTATATTTTATAAAGTTTTAGAATAATTCAAAGCTTTTATCATATAAAAATTTATATAAGTTATGATTTGGTAATTTGAACTTAAATTTTTGATTCATTTAATTATTGGCAAAGTAGAACACTAATATTACATCAATAAAAAAAATATTCGAGTCTTAAATTTAGATTATCAAACTAATAACTATTATAAAAATTTAATTAGCATCAATGAATATTTGATCGACCAAAATATTAAGTTTAGCAAAGTAATAAATATATAATGTTATAAAAATCGATTTTTTCAATAGTAAATATTTGGATGTTAAATTACTGGGCAAAAAAATAAGAGTTTTAACAAAATAAAATGAAATAAGGATCCTGATTAAAATAAAATGTAAAATACTTTCAAGGTAAAAATAGAATGTCTAGGAGAATCGGGGCATAATGGAGACAATGGATCCTCGTGGATAGAATGAGTTGATTTAGACGATGGTGATCTATCATTTCGATATTTGCAAGAATCTGTAATATGATACTGAGATGTGGGCTCGATTGACCATTCGCTACCATTATTCAAACTTATGTTTCCAAAGGTATCTTTTGTTAAGTCTAAATTATTGCCACTAGGAAGCAACGCTTTGTTCGGTGTTTGTTCTGCAAAGATTATAATATTCTATTTATTAGACATACACATAACAAAATGGATATTTATATTTAAAATGACGATTATTAATAAAATAAAATTGCAAGAATATTTTCCGAATTCATGAAATCGAATCATGAATATGATGATTGAATAAAATCTGATAAAAGAGGGGGGGGGGCGTAAAAAAGATATTTAGAGTCTCCTAAAATTTAAACTTCCAGTTGTGAATATCTCTGTCTTGACCTCTTCAGGTTTGTCTTTCAAGTGACAACCTCGTATTATAAATGTTTATTAAAATGCTTTATTCTTTATATCGATCATCAACTTTGTATTCTATTGAAACTTATATTGTATAAAATAAATTTTTAATGAAGAAAAGGCATGTGTAATAATTAGCGAATTATTAGATATACATGATTCTAGAATAAATGCCAATATAATCCATTTCCAAGTCATCTTGTTTTTAAATTCTTTTTTTATTTGTCTAGTTATAAAAGCATTTATTAAGCATTCATTACATCTAACTTTAAAAGGTAAAAATTTATTGCAAAAAAACATAATATAACCAAAGGTTCTAGAAAATAAATCAAAGTATATTTAATTAAACAGAATTTATTTAAAATAATATATCTCAAGAATTTATAAAAATTAAAATTTTGGAAATAATATTCTCACAATATTTCAGACAATAAAATATACTAATTAATGTTAAAGTGATTTGAAAATAACAATGAAATACTCATGTTCAAAAAAATTTTAATATTTTTTAATTATCAATTCGATCCTAAAATATCGTTCAATCAACACGAATTGTAATTTATTTCCAGATATATCTATTAAAAGCATTACTAAAAAAGATGATGAAAATGGTAGGTTACAATTTTTCAAAATTAAAGGAATCTGTGGTAATAATATTTAAGATTTGCAAATGCTATGATCAATCAAGAACCATTAATTCATTTGAGTTATAAAATTATACAAGAGGAGATAAAGTGATTTATTCTATAGAATTCTTCGACTGAACTTATATTAATATTGGAACGATGGGCTTGTCTTGCAAGTTGAAATAGACAAATATTAAACATAGATCTCTGCCTTTGAACAGATATATCATTTATGAAATTCGCTATATACATTTGCCTTAATTTCCTTTAGTTCTAATTAGTGGGGTTAAATTGCTTGGTTGGGTAGAATTAGCATGATTATTGGTCGAAAGAATAAACCAGAACCCCAACTAAATGGGTCGATCTGGTCGACCAAATTCATAGGCCCTAACATTGACCCGACTACCAACCCAAAACTAACTTATTAATATAATATTTATAATATTTCATTGTGAACATATTACTCAATCATATTTTTATGCATAGAGGTTGAGTATTTCAATATTAGCATAGAAATAATTATCTTTAAGATTACTTTTTTTAAAATTGTTCTCACCTTAAACTGCAAATATTTGATAATTTTTATTTTTCACTAGAAACTCGAGTTTTGATCAATAAACCAATTTAAAAACAGAAAACGAGTAGTTCAATTCAATATTAATTAAATATTAAGCATCGAATTCGAAATAATTATCTTCTAAGACCGGGCTAACTTTGTTAAAAGAATTTCTAGGTATTCAGATATTTATTTCATATATCACCAAAAAAATGCGGGTAATATATGTTTATTTAATTAAAATATTTTGGAGTCTGGTCTAAAGTCGTAAAAATTGGCTTAGGCTGAAGCCGACTAGATGAGTTGGCTTTGACTAGTCATATTAGGAATTGGATTCGTTAATATTTGGCTCTAGTTATTAAGCCCAATAGTGGGCTCGAGTTTAATTTTGAGCCGAAATGTATTTATTTGTTATTTAACCATAATTCGCTAATGGATATTACTACAAAAATTAATGAGCCAAATATTGCCTTTCCATCAAAATATTTTGCAATATTCGCTATCCTAAAAATTTCAAGAACCTGTATTATATACCCTCTAGCGAATAGTTCTAGCTGACCCTTGCTCGCAAGTATTGATGGAAAGATCTTTCAGTGCACTATGATTAAGTAACCCTATTACGAACTAGATTGGACAAATATACTTTAGACGATATTTTAATCAACAAACTTAATAAAAATTTATTAAACAACGTTATCTTTTGAATTGTTCATTTTTATTTATATAAGATTCTGAATCGAATTCGTTATTCATATTTGTGAATAATTATATACTATCATAGAATAAATAAAATTTAATAAAATTGTTACAAAGTTTAGGGATACTAATTTTGAAATGACATCATCAAAAAAGACGGGACAGATTTCGAGCTCCTTAATTTAAAATAATTTTTTAAATCCAAATGGACTTGAATTTCGGCAATAATTATTTTTCTTGCTTAAAACTATTAATATAGAGAACTACAGAATTTTCATAATGATAAAATTTCAGAAAATATCGTATTTTTTAACACTCTAAAGAAATTTTTTTGGATCGGATCTATAAAAAAATTTCTCCGATCATTGCATAAAACGAAATAAAAATTTGATAAAAACATAAATTTATTATTAGGCAAAACATTGTTATCCTATCCATATAAGAACACTATATCTTTCCAAAATCTTATGATTTTTGATAGTTTTGATGGAATTTTTACGGACCATTAAATTAAAAATAAATAAAAAAAAGAGGTTATCACTGGTTCCATGTCAATTCAGCGAAACTTTTATCGCGAATGAATTTTATAGAGAAACTTTTATGGCGAATCTACATTAGCGAATACTTTTCCGATATCGCGAATCAATAATTTCTAAAATTTTATAACGAGGTCATTATAGGGAAACCCAAATCGCGAAGACAATAAAGCGAAAACTAAATTTAATATCACGAGGTCAATATCGGGATAATTGTTTAATGTCGAGTTCTTCCGACTATGACTAATAAATGTAGTCGAGGAAATAGACTAAAGTTTATCCAGTTGAGTCGGCATAGTTGACCCATAGTCGACTAAATTGATTTAGAGCTGAAGTATCACTGTATAATCGGGGTAAAAATTAAATTGTAAACATGGTAAATAGAGATTTCAGTAGATGAACCATAGAAAAGTGACAATTGCCATATAATCTTTATTTTTTAAGTTTTTTTGAAGCAAATGAGAAAAAATATATAATATTAACATGTTAATAGGATTTCAGCGAAGATGTGTCATAGAAAAATGACAATTGTCATAAACGTTATTTTTAAATTGTTTTGATTTTTTCGAAGCAAATGGGTAAAAAATTAATTCCAAATGAAATTTTAGGGAAGATTAATCATAGAAAAGTGGCAATTGTTATAATCCTTATTTTTTAACTTTTCAGAATTTTTTTGAAGTAAATGGGTAAAAATATAAACCGTAAACATCTTAAATTAAAATTTAAATGAAAATGTACCTTAAAAGACACTTGCACAATCGTTAATTTTTGAAGTAAATGGGTAAAAATATAAACTGCAAACATGTTAAATTTAAATTAGGATGTACCATAGATTTTTAACATATAGGTAAAAAAAAATAATTGTATACATGTTAAATTGAGATTTTAGAGAGGATGAACTATAGAAAAGTTACAATTGTCATATTCATTATTTTGAAGATTTTAAAACAAATGCTATTTAAATTATAAATATATTAAATTCTAATTTCAGTGAATATGAACCATATAAAAGTGGCAATTTTCATATTCGCCATTTTTTAACTTTTTATATTATACAGATATTATATAAATATTATTAAAATATCACTTGAAACTACAATATATTATTAATACTATTTTATAGAACATAAAAGAAAATTAGCAATTTTTAGCTATTTATGACCTATTGTTTAGATATTATGGTTATATAAATCAAAACACCATTGAAAATTATCAAGGTCGATTATTTGTCAATTGCAACAAAAAATCAGAATTATACGTTATAAGTATGATCTTTAACTAATGATATTAATACAAGGTTGTTAAAAAAATATAAAGAAACCGACACTATTTTCTTTTTGATTTAAAGTACTAAATAATTGTGAAAAAATTAATGTTCACAAAAATTATATGAGTGGGATCCTCCATCATTAAGTTAAAATTTCATTATGCTAAATAATCGTTGGCTCAAGTATATTTTTTCGATTTTCGTCCTGAATTACCCCATACACTCCAAGCTCAACAAATTCGAAATATTTTAAAAAATATCAAATCAATAATCTTGAAATTTGGTAGATATATATTTCTTATAACAAAATCTTAAACTACTTTAAAAACAAGGCGAAATTACTCTCAAATTTTTTTCTTACCAAGTATACCTTCCAAAATATGAATCAAATATAGGCATTATCTGGTATTCGATTGGATCGAATATTTGTATTATTCGTATCATACGATTCGAGTAATTTCTTAATTCGTATTCATATGAATAATAAATAATAAAACATTTTTCGATTTGATTCATCAACATTCGATTCGAAAATTAAATTCTTTAAAAAGATTTACAAAAATGAAAAAATAGTTTATTAAAATTTATAGTTATTTATAGATATGGAATAAAAGTAAAAAAAATAAAAAGTTTCGCAAGGAACATGTTAAATACTTAACCCTATAGGAATCCTACACATTCATAAATAGATTTACGTAGCGCATTCGACAAATATCCAAATTAGTTTCTTTTAGGTGCACTTGCAATATATAATTATTCTCAAATATTAATAGCGGATTTAATTTAAAATCTTATATAAATAAAAATAAATATCAAAACTCAATAGATAACGTAGTTTAACAAATTTTTATTAAGTTTGATGATTAAAATATAGTGTAAATTATTGTCCAATCTAGTTCGTAATGGGGTTTTACTTAATCGTAGTGTACTGAAGGATCTATCCATCGATACTTGCGAGCAAGGATCAGCTACAATTTATCGCTACAGTAATACAGGTTCTTATAATTTTTTGGATACCAAAAATTGCAAAATATTTTGATGGGAAGGAAATTTTTGGCTATAAAGCAAT